GCCCAACAAAAGGGCGAACTCACCAACTGTAATGGTGGATTGCATGAGGCGGGCTCAGCCTTCAAAAGGGGACTCAGCCTTCAAAAGGGGGACTCAGCCTTCAAAAGGGGGCTCAGCCTTCAAAGGGGGCTCAGCCTTCAAAGGGGGCTCAGCCTTCAAAGGGGGCTCAGCCTTCAAAGGGGGCTCAGCCTTCAAAGGGGGCTCAGCCTTCAAAGGGGGCTCAGCCTTCAAAGGGGGCTCAGCCTTCAAAGGGGGCTCAGCCTTCAAAGGGGGCTCAGCCTTCAAAGGGGGCTCAGCCTTCAAGGGGGGCTCAGCCTTCAAAGGGGGCTCAGCCTTCAAGGGGGGCTCAGCCTTCAAAACGGACCCGGACCCGGCATCCAAGGCCGTAATTGGCGGTAGTTGGATGTGTCGCTGCCAGGCGGGACGTTGCACGGCATCCACCACTCGTGTCATAGCCTGCAGCGAGCACTGCAGGTGCAGCTGGCATTGGTGCCATTGCTCCTGCTGCAGGTTCTCGAATGCATTTGTATCCGTAGTCGATTTCTTGGGCTGGAATAGTGAGGCCACGCAACGGTGAAATACAGACAGCGTGACCAAGTGGATCGGCAACCCCGGCGCCTCCGAATCGGTCTCAATGAGTGTGTGGTAAAGTTTACGAAGTTTGATGACATGTGTGTGAAAGTTGCTCACACGTTTACCGCCGTCGGAAAGTAGCAATGTGAGTTTCCAACAGAGATAAGTTGCCACAGCAGGGCGTTCGAAAACACGGTCAGGCGGTACGGGGATTTCTGTCGGGATTAATTCGTGGTCGCACACGGCATTGAAGACTTGAGTGTATGCCGCCACGGCTTCGTTAAACGCACCTCGTAATTCCAGCAAGAACGCCACCTTCAACTTTAGATCCAAACGCAACAATGAGGCCGCCGCTGCAGCGCAGTTCAGCGGACCGAAGGACGGCTTTAACAACTCAGCTACATCTGACACACTCTCGTGCATCGGCTGCACCAAAGGCAACCATCGTAGGTACTGCCGTTCCAGACCTTTCAGGTAGTCATTAGACGCTGCGATTGCCGCGTCACGAAGCCTAGGGGAAGTTACATGGGAGGGTGGGTGAGGGGGAGGGAGGAGTTAGTCTGACTCGGTTAGTCTCGTAGCGGAAGTGAGTTGTTGGTGGAATATCACGAAGACTGAAGTGTAGTCATTTCGGGACTTCACCGGTGCCACTGAGGACTCGATGAGTTTGCAGATGCTTCGCCGCGCGTTCTCGTCGAGATCGGAGGAGAGGAGGATGACGGGCATGATAGGAGCGGCATTCTGGTAATGGGAATGCAGTTCCTTGTGCACGCGTTCGATGCTTGTCTGGCACAGCCGACTTTTGGTAACAGTCTCCTCATCCGCCGCGACCGACTCGGAAAACGATCCAGATGATCGACGACCAACGGACGTCCAGTCGAACCATAGCACGACACATGAAGGCATCCACTGGCACGCATAAGAGATCCATCGGACGGACAATACTCCGTAGCCTGGAGCGTACTTGGTGACGGTAGACTCCTCCTGACGACTGATGTCCGAGTTGGCGTAGAAGATCCCCAGTTCATTACACGGTTCACTAAGACAGAACCATGATACCGATGTCTAGGTACGGTGTAGCGACGCGACGGTTATCTGAGGTGTAATCGCACTGAGGGTTTGCCGGGCAGCAACGATGGGTGGGCCTACCTTACATTAAGCTTGGTGCTACACAATTCTTCGATAGACCCGAGTTTACTGTTGCTGTAATGGACCCTAGTAATAATGGATTCTAGTTTGGGCGAGTCGTAGCCTACGAGGATGACTCCACCGCGACCGCATTGATTAAACAGGTGGTCTTGCGGGGGCGTGGTCATTACAAAAAGTTGACATAAAAAGTAGGTTGATCAAACAGAATGGTGATTCGTTGGGGCACGGCCGTTTTCTCAGGACCGAGCACTCCGCTCGGCCCTATTTCTCTGGGACCAACTTCGCGTTTGGGGTTGGCGCGAAGGAATTTGTGTTGTAATAGCTCTTCCTGGGGACATTGGCAGAGTGCCCCATGTTCGAGACATAGAGGACAGGCTACGAGGTCCAAGGCTTTCAGACGCAGGAAGAGATTTAGACGACGCACATCCCTACCAGGATTACGTCGTGCGTATTCCACGCACAACTGACGCACCCATTCGGCCACATCACTCTTGACCACGTCTACACACAGCCGCGGCAAACCGACCACGAGCCGGTCTATCAACCCAGCTACCGACCACTCGCCACCCGGTGCCCAAGGACCGCTAGGCGTTGCGCGGATGTTGTAAGGTTGATCTCCAGTGGCAGCCAAAAAATTATCCAGTCCTCGCAACGCCGAAAGCACCTGTCCATACACACTCATCGGCGCGCACACACTCGGTAACACGTCACACACCGCCACCGAGACGTCCCGACGCCACACCATACCCTCTTCACTAGACAAGCGGAAGGCCATGCAATCGGACTCTATTAACTCCTTCGACACTTGCTGACAATTGCGACCCTGCTTACCAAATTGCTGAAACTTCGCACGTGGTTCTGAATCTACACACTTCGGTACCCTAATTTTCCGCAACGCCAACCACGGCTTCGCAGGATCCTCCGCCTTCGCAGGATCCTCCACCTCACACACTTCTGTCACTCCACCGTCCATCTCTACCCCGGGGCCCTCAGCTGCAAAGCCGGCTTCGATGAGCTCCAGCTGTCCCGAGTTCCATAGCGCTCTCACTTTGGACAGGTAGCTGCTTTCCGCGGCAAGTATCCCGAACGCCGCGGGTGCAATAGGGCACCTAGGTTCGACTCGAACCCGGGCGTAAGAGGTGTCGAAATCGGCCTGTATCCGTTTGGTAGCTTGCGGGTCCAGGGCCAGGCCGCCGCGACCATAGCCAGGTGCACGAGTGGTGAAGGTTTCATACTCGCCACCTTCACCGCCAACGTTGATCTCATACTTGTCGTAAAGACACATGAGGTCGCGCACCAATTCTTCGTCGTCGAATGACCTGAGCAAGTGTCTTCGGCCTAGCCCCAAACAGGCTGTCTTAATCAAAATGCACTCGAACTCTCTCCGTAGTCGCCGCAGCTGCAGTAAGTACAGGTTCTGGTCAAGTGACCATAAAGGACTCACAGAACGCATACCTAGGTCACGACACACACTCTCCACTCGATGTCTCTGGTACCGACTCCATATCGCCCCGGTAACAACCGCGTATTCCACAGGTCTTGGCGTTTCCGCGTCGTCGCGCTTGAGTTGGGTCAGCACCTGCTGTAGCAGACGCCGCATGTCTTCCACTTCATCGCCCTCCTCAGGCTCGTAATCTACTCCAACGCGTAACGATTCCCCCTGGATCTCCGCGGAGAAGTAAACCACCGGGCGTCCCAGGGGGGAGGCGGAGGCGGGGGAGGTCAAGGCGTGCTCGCCCAAGTAGTCCACGGCGTCGCTCCCCACCGACTGGAACATGTAGCTGTCCGTCTCATCCGTCTTAGCCGTGCCGCTCGCTTGTTTCGGCTTCAAGTGCGCAAAAGCCGCAACTTCGTACCCTAACACTACTTGAGCCAGATGGGCGGCCAAGATGCTGTCTTTTCCACCCGAGATGAGCGCGATGGCCCGCCGCCGGGGCGCCAGGGCATTTGTGCTCATTTTTTTCCGGCTGAGTGACGATACAGGCGGTGGGAGCGTATGTGCCAGTGCCACGCACGCGGGAGTGTGTCAGTGCCACGGACGCGAAAGCGCGCCAGTGCCACGCACGCAAAAGCGACTCCGGGTGGTGGAGATGGTATGGGTGGGCTGGGCATTTTCGTCAACGGCGGGTGTAATTAAATGGGTCGACAGGAATTGCGAAGGTGGAGGTTGCAGTGGTTTGGTGTGGTGGGGGTGGTGGGTGTGTTGTTCGTGTTTAGTTACTGGACGCTGCGTGCACAGCGTGAAGGGTTGAGTGCGATCAATGAGAAGATCTTTATGGGTGCGCACATAGGCGGTGTAGCTCGGTTCGGTGTGGGTCGAAGCGTGACGTCGCGGGTTCGAGTCCCGATAATGTCATTTGACACGGGTTTCCGATCGTTTGTGGAGCCGGACGACGGAAAGTTGGAGCGGTTGGCGAGTGGTGTACCGGCAGTGGACGGGCAGCCGATGCTGCCAGGAGAGTGCGACGCAGTGAACCTACTTGCGTCCGGTGCCTCGGCGGCAACGGCCTTAAGTGCGAGCGGGACGGGCAAGATCGGCTACCGGCCACGATATCGTTTGATTGCGGTGGCCAAGGTGGGTAACGAGATGCCGTACATACTAGAATGGCTAGACTTTCACATCCATCAGGGTTTCGACCACTTTGTGCTCTACATCGACGACAGTCCCTTCGACATTGGTTCCAACTACCTACAGACGCTCAGACTGTTGCCCGAATACTATGCGCAACTCGGCTACCCCGGCGACTTAATCGAAGTCAAGACCATCGGGGGCAGTCTGGGCGGTGACGGCACAGGCGGTGTGGTGGAGGGACTGTTTGATAGCAAGATGAACTACCATCGTCTTACGCAACAGACCCTCATTAAACACGCGTTCGAGAAATACAAACATGACACAGAGTGGATTATGCATTTTGATGTGGATGAATTCATCCACCCGATCCCGTTGTTGCAAACAAATATGTCGGAGACAAGTACTGCGGGCGACAATGATGGCGCTGACAATGATGTGTTGGGTTCCGAGGAGTGGTTGCGGCGGTATCCACAAGATCAGGGTCTGTCGGAATGGCAAATGAAGTTGCGCGCTGTGGAACGTGAAGGTCGCCGGTTCGATCCGCGGCGGTACGGCGACGGCCGCGGCAAGTTGTCGGGAGATGAGTGGACGCTGGCACGCTACCTACAAAACCTCTATGTCGACCCGAACTCGTTCGTGGCCGAGTCTTACCAAATGGGTTACCTCTCGGGCATTTACGTTTTCTCTGCGCCTTTCGGAATCGGCGACGCGTACTGGTTCAGCCCAATTGTCAATCTCGTCCGTAACGAAGCCAATGGCCAACTGGAACTCCTCTATGCCCCATCAGTGCCCGCGGGCGACCTGGGTGATGACACCACACCCCAGGGAGACATCGAGGCCGATGCGCGCCGTATGAATGCCTTCATCAACTACCTCACTGGCCTCGAACAACTGGACGACTCTGATCCAAAGAAACTCCAGCCACTCCTATCCTTCTATGAAGCATTCAAAAACACTACATTCGATCACCCTCAGTGGCAAGGCTACCCCTTTCAATTGCTACGACAAACCCACAAGACCTTATCCGCCTTTAATGGAGACTCAATCGTTGAGGCAGCCAAACACCATGTAAATATCTGGCCTGAATGTAAACCCATGCTCGAAACGTAAGTCGCACCATACGGGTGATAGTCGCCTACCATACCGCACACACATGGGGGTGATAGACACACACACACATGGGGTGATAGACACACACATGGGGTAAAACTGTGCTCAGGTTGGAAGCTCATTTGGATGCATGGAATTCATTTTTGACTGACGAGATCCGCGTGAGGGACAAGTTGAGATGGCTTGGTCAGAACCGGACTCTGTATCCGGATTACTGTTTGCCGGGGGAGATGCCATCGGGTGTTACTACGATGGGTAAGAGTTTGTTGTGGACAGGGTTGCGGTATGACCCACCACAAGGTTTCAATTTGGAAGCAGACCTTGCGCGGCATGGTCGACAGTCTTACGTGCTTCCGCAGGAAGTGGTAGGGGCACGACCTCGTCCTGGGGACATGTCGGAATTAGCTGTTGCACTGAATGACACTGCGTGGGGAAGTCTGTCACGTAAGAAAAGGATAGGAAGAATGGGAGCGGCGCTAAGTGGCAGGGAGATGGGATCGATGTGGGACCAGCCAAGTGCTAGCAACTGGCCGCGTCGTCGTAGTTTATGGGACCCACGGGTGGAACTTGAGGTCGAAGGAAAACCGTTAGGTTGCCAAGTACCCTGGGTCCACAGTTGTGGTCATGGTACAAGACATCCAGTCTACATAAGTAATGAGTTAAGATTAGATCATCATATTTTAAGATCAATGGAATCGCGGACAATCGCCGACGCTAAATGGCGAGCAGGCGCCGCCGGCTGGGGCAAATTTAGAACCGATTGGCTTCTAAGGTTCTCCCTAATTCCATTTGCACATGCTAAATATGAACCAAGTGTTGCACGCACGTTCGGCGACCGACTCTCTGAGCAATTTATGATACGACATAAGCCTATGAAACGACCTCTCTACATTAACTTCGACGTCGAGGAGGAAGAGGATGAGGAAGAGGATGAGGAAGAGGAAGAGGATGAGGAAGAGGATGAGGAAGAGGAAGGAGGTAGCAAGAGGGGTAATAGACACAATAAGACGAGGGTCATAACTATCAAGGACTGGTCCAAGATAATGTTGGTCAGCAAGTGTGGTTGGGAAGATCTTGCCACGTTACGTAGAAATATTTGTCCCAAGTCACACCCCTATGTGGGCACCGTCAGTCGGGGACGTCTAAGATCATATACCTACTGCCACAACGAGGCACCCGATGGCACCATCAAACCCGAACACATTCCAGAACTTGACGACTCAGGCAACAACAAAACCCAACGACTATGGACTCTCAACAACCTGCGCTGGGACGAATTCGCCGACTGGACACTCTGCGGCGCCTTTCCCCGAACCGTATGCTGCGACTACGACCCGGACCTATTCAAGACACTGCAGTCTAAAGCACGCACTGACCCGACTTTTAAGCAGCTGTTGGAAGAGCACCGAAGAATACGAAATACTAACCAAGCATTTTTTCGCTAGCCAGATTCTCGTTGGCATCCAGACTTCAATTTAATTTAATCTGATTTGATTTGAACATTTTCTTTTTCGAACTTATAAAATTCTCTCACGACCGTTCTTCCAGAGACGTGCCAAACAAACAACAATAATGCATAGAGAGCAAGCACAATAACCGCTAGCAGCTGCAGCATCGTCCATAGAGCATGAGATATGATCGCCGGGTCACCTGGTTCCTTCAAAGGAACATTGGGTATATCACCAAAGACAAGGTTGGCAGTAATTATCTCGCCCAGTACTTCCTCTAGAGAAATACAAGTCGGATTGTGCATACACATGTGTGTGCACACATGTGCATACACATGTGTGTGCACATGCGCGCTCTAGAGATGGCGGTCTTACGGAGAGTAGCGTTATTTGGAATGATTATTGGTTCAAAGCCCATTGCCTATGTCATTCATATTTTGTAAAAAAACGGTAGGTCTTGGGAAATGAGTCGATCCATAAAGGACAGTTCTACTTGTTTTCTTGGCCCACTTAGCGCAAGCATCAGCTTCAGCATAACTCCCACCACCGACAACGAACACAATAGCCTGGCTAACCCCCGTCTGTTTAACATCACCAGCAACACCAAGAGGATCATATCGATCGTACTGAGATACGATTACGGACTTCTTTGATTGATCCACAAGACCTTCCACCAAACTAACAATCTTGGGTTGGTGCTTTAGTTGCATTACTTGCTTGATACCCTGCCATAAAATTCCCTTGGCTACGTTCATTGCGGTTCCTCCGAAAGTGCCTGGACCAGGTACAACGGGCTCTCGACCCACTTCCGGCTGCTGCGTATTGGACAGAGATTCGTACGTGTTTGTAGCGCTCATCTGCAGCATCGTATCATGATGACGCAGGAATTTAAGAGCCGGCAAAATGCCAGCTTGCCGACCTGTTCCAGCGTCCGGCGGCGGCAAAAGATGGCAAAGGCTGTTTATCTCCTCTGGTGGGACCCGGTCCTTGAGCAACAAATGGGAGCAAAGTATCAAGCGCTGCTTATCATCGTCGTCACCTTTTTCCAAAAGATCACGAACCTGCTTCATGTTATACGGTCCCTGACTCCATCCTGACTCCAACATATCAGTCTCCAAATTATAAAAGTCTGGGAGATCCCTTTTCAGCAATACATTATATAATTCTTGCGCCACACGCGTGTGCAAATCTAATGAATCCTTCAAATTAATTACATTCGGAGCGTTTTCGATAGCCGCATTTAGTCCTGACATTGTCTCCGCTCCGGCATCCGGATTTGTAGTCCGATTCACCGAAGCAATCTTCGCTTTAAACTCATTAAGTAACTGAGCCGTTGCCTCGGCAACCTCAGGATAACTCGACCCCCGGTGGTCCGCCCAAAACTGGTCTGTGGTTGGGCTAAGCTCGCTCTTTTGTCCGTTCACAACAACTTGGTTCAAATGAATCCCAAAGCAATCATGCAACAATGACTCGTATGTCCAAGTATGGCACAAAGGACTATAGTAATCAAAACTTCGGTCGGTCAGTAATATAGTAGGCCGTCGGTTCCGACTCTCTATGAAGCAAACAGTATTGGAATGGTATTGAAATGGGTGCCGGGCATTTGGATACCATACACGGGTTGGATACCATGCATGGGTTGGATATCATGCACGATTGGATATCATGCACGGGTTGGATATCATGCATGGGTTGGATATCATGCACGGGTTGGATATCATGCACGGGTTGGATATCATGCACGGGGAGGAGAGGTAACAAGAGGGGGGGCATAGGGAGGGCCCCGAGGAGAGGTTAGCTAGTTAGTGCGCGTTAGCTAGTAGAATGAGCAAAGTGAAGAGGCCAAATGTCGCCATGAATAATACCAACAAGTCCACAAGATTAGACCGTTGGGGTAAGCACTGGCTATCATTTTACGATGGTAGTTCTCTAGCGAAGCCACAGTCAAGCACCGCCAGTATATTCCCATCGCCTCCGGAAACGACAAGACCGGAGTTCTTTCTGAATCCACACCCTTGCCCGACGTGATTCCGAGTCCCCGCAACGGGTCCATTGGTAAATTATGGGTGGAATTTTAATTTCACAAATCCGGGGTCGCACACATGACGCGTCGCACACATGACGCGTCGCACACGTGTGCGACAGCTGACGTGTGTTTGGGTCGGGTGGTAGGTTAGGTCGGGTGGTAGGTTAGGTGTAGTTTATGTTACCTGCGAATGAAATGAAGCGATCTCCATATGTAGAGTGTAGCTCTTTGAGTTGTTCGCAAAGTTTGATGCCAACAGTTCTGGCGGGGGAGCTTGGATTCTTAGGTAGTTTAATAATTGGTCGTACGCCTAGTGTTTTGAGTACACAGATAAGTCCGGCTACGATATGGTCAATAGTTTGCACGATGGTTACATCTTTGCTTTTGGGGTCATAGATATTCTTGAATGTGTCTGGTAATTCTAGTGAGAATTTGAAAGCGTCAATAGGTACAAAGTTTATGAAACGTTCCACAACAGCTGGAAATAATGGTAATGGAATTATTTTAGAAGCTTTCTGAGCTAGATCTTGTAGTGTATTATCCGAAATTCGATCAATGAATTGTAGGTTATACTTAGCATACATACGACGACTTATATCTCGTAATAGTACATCAAGATTATGTTCAGAAGGTTGCACAATATATACTGCCATCGTATCAGGTATTGGTGTCCTATCTGTATTATCAATACTAAGCACCAGGGTCACACCAAATTGCCTTAATTGCCCAACTTTTAATAACGGTGCTATAACACTTTGAGAACGTTCATCCAATATAAGAACCTTCCACACACCTTCAGAACGTAACACAGACACCAGACTACTCCGTGTCGCCTCCTCTACATCGAACGGAACTGACACAGTGACTGGTGAAACACTTCCAGCTATCATCCCTACACGCAAAATTAATTTCTGACCCTCCCCCTCTCCCTCTCCCTCTCCCTCTCCCCTGGTTTGTGGGTTAATTCGTTCTTTTTCCTCGCTTGGTTTGTGGGTCGATTGGTCGGGTGTGTGTTTTTAATCGCACGTGTGCGAACTTTGTTATGGATGATTACTATGCGGCATACGAGAGTTTAGCGGAGTTAGAAGTAGGTGGTTTGACAGGGGTTTTGGGTTTGACGGGTAGTGGGAAGACTACATTGTTGCGTGCCTTCGAACGTGTAGGTAGTGGGTTAAATGAGGAGGTACGTTTGGCTGCGAATTCAAGTGAGTTCTTACCTGGTTTAACAGTGTTTGAATATCTGATGAATGGTTGTCGTCTATCTGGTGCTAAGAATTGTTTACGGAAATGTTCTGAGATAATATGGTTATTAGGACTTGATCAATGTAAGAATTATTTGGTAGCTAGTGATAAAGATGAGACTACTATATCTCAAGGACAACGCGCGCGCACACACATTGGTTTTGTCATTGCAAGCGCATCATGTCCTATACAACGTTTACTTATTGATGAACCACTCTCAAGTCTAGATACAGGCGCAGCTGTCCTTGTTGTTGACGCTTTTAAAACACTCATACAACATGGCAAGTATGTTCGCTCTATCGTTTTCAGTATCCACTCACCAACCCCAACTGTATGGAGCATGCTCGATCATCTCATCATTATGAGCCGACTCTCCATCGTATACCAAGGACCCTGCCACCGAGCTTTATCTTACTTCCTAAACTATCTACAAAACTCTGATAATAGACGAAGCAAGACAACCCACAACCTACTAGAAGGCACAACACAAGATGACAGAACCCCAACACCACAACACAAAACAGGTCTACAACATGGAACAGGTCTACAACATGGAACAGGTCTACAACATGGAACAGGTCTACAACATGGAACAGGTCTACAACATGGAACCAGGTCTACAACATGGAACAGGTCTACAACATGGAACAGGTCTACAACATGGAACAGGTCTACACCATGGAACAGGTCTACAACATGGAACAGGTCTACAACATGGAACAGGTCTACAACATGGAACAGGTCTACAACATGGAACAGGTCTACAACATGGAACAGGTCTACACCATGGAACAGGTCTACAACATGGAACAGGTCTACAACATGGAACAGGTCTACAACATGGAACAGGTCGTAGTGCACTCGAGCGTAGTGCACTCGAACGTAGTGCACTCGAAGCTGGCTACAGCGTGCAAGACGCTTCCTCCATGACCACACCCGCTTTTTTCATGCAAGACATGGGCAGTAGCAACGTCCCAGCCATCTCCAGCGCATCAAGCTCCTCAAGCTACTCCGCATCCGACACCGAGTTGTCTCCATCCCGGCTGTCCTCTTCCCAGCTCTCCTCCTCCCATCTGTGCTCTTCTCAACAGTCTGACCCGCTGCACATACACGTCAGTCCATCGTGCTCAAGCAATGGCGGCGACAATAACACGTTCCTTGAAGAGGAGTACAGTCTTACACTTGGATCGAGTCATGGACGTAGATCGAGTCATACACATGGGTTCAGTCAAGGACCGGGGTCCAGTCAAGGATCCGGGTCCAGTCAAGGACCGGGGTCCAGTCAAGGACCGGGGTCCAGTCAAGGGTCCGGGTCCAGTCAAGGGTCCGGGTCCAGTCAAGGACCCGGGTCCAGTCATGGTACGAAGCGACGGCAGGACATGCCCGAATATTTGGATGATGCGGGGATCATCTTCTACAGCATCCACGAACTAGATAAGAGACATCCTGGGTGGTCTGAGGAGATCCGGAGCGGCGAGACGGCTGTAGGGGGTGAGACCTTGGGCTTAAAAGTTCGGTCTTCCAACCGTCACGCAGATTCTCTCAAATCGGTACGCGCCTGGCATGGGATATCGAAGGCCAAGTTTTTCATCAGCATGATGTGCCAATCAGAATGGGCGGACCGAAAGCGAATGTTACTTCTCCTACCGTTACTCTTCATCTTTCATGGATGTTTTCTCGGCGCCATTCTACGCAGAGACTACGAACGCAATGTGTCTTACGAACACTCACCCAATCTCCAAAGCAAAGATGTTGTCCCAATCACTCTCTTCGACTCTGTCGACTTCAAAACTTTGGAGAACATTTGGCTCTTGGTCCCGCCGGACACGAACGTCAGTAAAGAAAACCGAGCAAATATTAACAATGAACAAGTCGACGACCTTGGTAATCTACCAAGCCAACTGCCGTCAAATCAACTGTGGTTAAATCAACTGCGGTCGAGCGACGTAAGGAACCGGAGTCCACGCGCTGGCCAGAGCACGTACGCCAACAACCGCGTGCATGCTGATAGTGACTCAGAGCGTCTGTTCGGCGACAATTTTGGTGCGGACAATTTTGGTGCCGAAGGTCTCTTGTGGGTGCCCACCGCGTCAGACGGAGACACCAACGTCTTTGTGGAGGCGACTGGGGCTGACGGCACGAGGGTTGGACCTAGACTCAATGATGACTTGGGCAGCGCAGCGGAGGTGTTCGAACGACAAGCGGAAGTGGAAGTGTTCGAACGCCAAGAGGAAGTGTTCGAACGACAAGCGGAAGTGGTGATGGATGTCGAGATGGGGGAGGCAAAGGGGTGTCCTTTGAACCCCATTGACAAGTATTTGAAGTATGGACCTTCGTACAATGGTACCATTGACATAATCGAAGCGTTGGTTTTTTACAAGCCGACGTATAAAGTAATGCACCGTTTAATCCAGTGTGTGCGAGACAATCTGGATACGTTCGCAACAGAGTTTGAGGTACCACCATACGAGCCCAACATTCATGAATGGTGGGTACCTGTACGACATGTAACATCTTGGATGAACAATGTTTACGAAAGTCCCATAATCCAACAGCCACCAAATATGTTTGACTTCGAATCTGCCGGGGCACAGACAGGTGTCCAGGCCGCCGGGGTCCCAACGGACATGTCTTCAGCCACGGGACAAACGACGACCACCATTGGGGGACGAAAATCAGCTGTTGACGAAAAGACGCCGCTGCGACGGAAGACTGTGCGACGGAAGACTCTGCGATCAAGTGCTGCCTCGAAGAACGATCTGTTACAAGATGATCTCGACTCATCAGTACTTTCGGAATCGATCATGTCAGACTTGGTGGTGTCAGATGATGACGTCGATTGGGATGCATCAAATTTTCGTCTATTCACGGTTCCCTGGATCACGACGGAGGTGATAACGCTCTTTGAAATGTTGGATAGTGGTCTAAACGATTGGTCATGGGATAAGGCGTGGTTCTGTCAAACGAAGATGAACAGCGCCCTAATGTTTTATCTTTGCTTAGCCAACTCGTACCCCTACCGCATTCAGTCGGTTCTCCGATGTGCCGGCCTGCCACAGTTCCCGCTGTTGATACCGAAGCTGCCTGTCGACGATCCGCATAAACCATCAGTCGTCCAGTATACTATCCCGCAGATAGAAATTCCGACAACTGAGGCGACTCTGTCCCAGACGTGGGTGCCACCCGTGCCCGAGCTTGGGAACAAACACAGGTCCAAGCTTGCGTCGGAAGGCATGTCCAAGCTTGCCTCAGAGCCGATGGCTGGCTCAGAGCTGGAGAAGTACCTGAAGATCAAAAGGACAATGAACCGGCAGCGTCGTCGTGAGTACATTACTAGCCTCAAATCTAAGTCAAAGATCGAAACAGCCCGAGCGGATGAAACGGCAGCTGTTCGCCGTCTGTTTTTAGAGTATGACGAGGACTGGCCGTTTTTTCGTGGACTGCGGAATGTGACAGCATTGTTCCATCTGGAGTGGTTATATGAGGAAGTGATGCGTGTGATTGATGGAGCTGTACGTGGTATGTTCCACGGTGTAAGTTTGTTCTTCTTAATAATCAGTTGCGGTTTCCTTGGTATGATAAATATGAATAAGTGGTATAGCTTGGAACCATTTGCCTACCAATGTATCAGGAACAACGTGTTAGGACCAATGGTATACTTTGTTTCATTCTGTTGTCAATCGTGGATACTAGTGTTCTATGCTGCCATCTTTATTACGGTTCCATTTGTGTTGATTGCATCAATACCGTTGGAAACGTATTTTTGCGTTTTCGTTACATCTATCCTGTTCATACAGGCAACATCCGGATATCTGCTTATCCTAGGACAGATATTACCTGCGCAAGGTGGCATCAGATTCGCAACAATCTTTATGGTTTGTTTTGTTGAACTATCTGGCTTCTTCATTCGAGAACGCAATTACCCCCATGGGTCCGCCTGGCTGACTATCCTATCCCCTTATCGTTGGGGGTCTGAAGCTATCTTCGCATATGCCTTTAAAGAAAATGATTACAGTAGTATCACAGAAATACCACAAACTATCACTCTTGCTCTTGTCAATAGCAAAGTACGCAACTTTTGGGTCTGCTGGATCTACCTCATTGTCACCTACTTCACTACTTTACTAATAACCGCTTTCTGCTACATAATCAAACTAAGACATAGGTCAACCAAAGAACTCAGACACATCTTCAAAAAGAATAAAATCAAGATCTAAAACCAGTGTGTCGGTAACACACCTCGGTAACACGTGTGTCGGTGTTGTTCGTTGAACATAAGTGTCTGTTCATGAGTGTATACGGTTAGAAGAGTGCTTGGAAAGCCGCGGTGGCGGGACTCCGTCGTTGGGTGTTGCTGAAGATGGTTTTAAGGTCGCCTGTGATTTCCTCTAAGCTAGTCGTAACGACGCAACCACCAGTGAACATGTAGTCACAGACGTGTTGTAGAGCGGGCAGGTGCTCGACCAAGTCCAGGAGAGCGGATCCGCGTAATCTACTGTCTGATGGCGAGTTGCTGTAAGGTGGCGGGTTGCTGTCTGGTGGCGGGTTGCTGAACAACTTTTCAGGCACGAAGGACGCTGCTAAGGCTTCGAGTGGTGTGAAGAAACCCGACGCCGTGGCGCTCGCCTCTGCGCGAGCCTGAGCGACGACCGTGAAAGCCTTAAGGAAGATTGTCAGCATATCCAAACAGAACAACGGAGACTCTTCGTTAGCCTCTGTCACCATGTAGATCACAAACGAAGCAAATTTTTTGTACACTATGCACGGCTGCATAGCCGGAACTCCTTCTCGCTCTTTAGCGAAGACTTCTTCTTCTCGCAACACGTGACGTACCAAGTCGGGCACAAGGATACCACAGTTGTCTTCATTGAAAGGCTCGGACAGGTCCATGCACGCTCGACCACCACCCATCATACTGTACATCTGAAACAGGAAACTCCATTTCAACTTCACCTAATCCGCCCTTCACCTAATCCGCCCTTTCACCTGATCCATAACCCCCTGACCCCCGACCGCCATCATGGTCAAACCACCCCGCGGCCAAACCCACTTTGTCGTCCTTGTTGGATGAGAGCTCCAAAATCAGACTGCACACCGCGTCGTGAGCATCATCCGGAAGAAGACCCCAAGACCGGTGAAGGATTCGCCGGGGCGGGTCAGTTCCCCAAACGCCAAAACCTAACATGCACACGCGTGTGTCCTAGTCTGCGTGTGTCCCAGTCTAATTAATTGCGCCGGCCAGTTCGATGCCCCGACTCCAATTTGTTCTTCATTCCTTTTCACTGCTTTGACCTACTAATGTTGTGGTTCTTACTTGGTGCATTGTCTGCTGCATCTTTTACATTTCTCACTTCACCTGGTCAAAAGGTATTCCACTGGATTTACAGTTGCGTCGCGTACAGTGTTGCCGATGACGACCCCGCTGCAAGGTACGACCGCAATGGTTCGAGGTTTGGCGGCATTATGAGACGGAGACGAGCGTGGGCATGCGCTACCATGTGGGCTTGACGTCGGGATTTTGTCGGGATCTCGTCGGGATCTGATCTGGTGGTGTGTATTTCACTAGCGGCAGTAAGCGTTGCGTGGTGGGGCATTGGGGGGAAAAAGTTGGGACATCTTTGTGTGGTTGTGCTTGATAGCACACGCGTGTGTTAATAACTTTCAGCCGGTGCGTAAATTCGGCTGGCTTCAGCAGAACTTTCAACGACCCGTGCAGACTCTGAGTTGTTATGCCGAATGTCCCCAAATTCGGCCACGAATTTGGCGACGGATCGAAGGCATCTTTTGAGCTCAAATCAACGCCGACGTCCACTGTTGGACTTATTCTTCGGCTGCGATCGAGATGTGCAGCGATACCGGGATCCATTGATGGACATCGTTGCAGAAAACCCGGCAGTTAGCATTTCATTCGTCAAGTACACAACACCCGTACCTCCCCGCAACAACACCCGTACCTCCCCGCAACAACACCCGTACCTCCCCGCAACAACACCCGTACCTCCCCGCAGCATGTTGTTGTCCCCCCAACAAGTTGCTACATATATCCCACCCCCTGATAGTTATTGTGTTAGACATGTGATGCTGTTGGCTGTACTAAATGGTTGTTGTACGTCGATACCTTGTTTGTACTATTTACGTGGTCATTGGGAGGAGTGCGGTCATTGTGATCGGCCATTGCGCGTTTGGTTATTGTCGAATTCATTGTTGTCGTTAGTGCAATTGCCCATCCGATTGCTATTTGCCTTGAGAATGCAGTACTTGAGAAGTCGACATTCAGTGGCTGTGATGACAGCTGGTTTTCACCGTATGACGAGCAGCAAAGCGTGGGCGTTTAGCAAGTCTATTTCCTTAGTCAATTACGGCTGGTTCATTCTTGGAGTCTTCTGGACATTCACATCTGGTCGTGGATGTCCTGCCCTTTCACAGGTCTGTCTTGGCGTCATCTCCTTCTCACTCTTCCGCATCTTCGTCACCATTGGCTCATTCTACTACCACTTCCCCACTTCCCCCAATACACGAAATATCTTCAATGGCCTCGGAGGCACCACATTCAGACAGGATGGATATCGTACCGCCGGCCTTACCTCGAACAAGCTCAAGCTTCTGCCGAAACCAATTCTCGCCAAACAACTCAGAAAAAGACCAACCGAAGACCAGCCGAAAAAAAGTAACACCGTCGAGGGTCGAACCACCAACCATCGAACCTCCTCTCAAGATCGAACCACCGACCAACACCTCTTCCCAGAACTCGACCACCAGCTAACCAGCGATGTCCACCTCGACAACCAACTCCATCGACGCCCGCGAGCAAGCCGGGCTTATAGTTATGACAATGATCCTCACCGAGCACCTCACCAAGCACCTCACCAAGTACCCAATGAACTAGTAGAGCGGCAAACTCCTCACAAAAATTCTACCCCACCGGCGCCACAAGAGCCAATGCCACAGGAGCCAATGTCACAGGAGGCATTGCCACAGGAGGTACCGCCGCCACTCGCGGCAGTGCCACAACAGCGGCCACTGGAGGTAATGCCACAGGAGGCATTGCCACAGGAGGCATTGCCGCAGGAGGCATTGCCACAGGAGGCACCTCCTCCTCGAAACGGGGCGCTGCTTCCCCGATGCGAGATGTCTCCCTCAAACGAAATTCTGGCGCCCCCGCCTGAGAATGTGTCCGAGAATGCGTTCGAGTCAGCGGTCGAACGCACAGAGGGCGCGCAGTCATTGCGATGGCGAGGCGAACCTGAGCGTCTTCCGTCTGGCATCGACGAAGGGGAGCAGCGGTCGCCTTCTTCTGAGACATCGTCATTCGCGCTGGCGGAAGAAGTCTGCAGTATCTGTATCTCGCCCTACGAGGCCGACGATGTGATTCGCCTCCTCCCCTCCTGCTCCCACTTCTACCACCGACAATGCATTGATCAGTGGCTCATGGCCAGCGGCACATGCCCTCTCTGCCAACGAGCTGTGGACCCCGCCGTCAACACCCCCAACACCTGACCCCAGAACTGCATCTCGGATGTGGGTGCAGATCCAGCTATACGACCGCACCCCAGATCGGGACCCCATAATCGGAGAAGATGGACCGCCAGAGATGGACTTAGTCGTGCAACGTGTTTCTTTCGAATGAAGGCTGAATGGAGATGTCCAGTAACAAATCAACAACAAACGATAGCTACTGACCAAGAGAAGGTATAATGAAGGAAGGTGTATGGAGACAGACAGTACGTGGTTGAGCCCACCGCACTCATGGGATGTGGTGAGTAGGGTGTATGGGGTGTGTGGACAATGTATGGCAGGGGTGTGTGGTCATGGGGTGTCTGGTCATGGCGTGTGCGAAAGGTATATGGTCGAAAGGCAAACGGTCGACTGAACGAAAAAGGTTGCCCGGGGCATGCGTGCTCCAACCAGCGCGTCCTAGCCGGCAGTGCCCCAATGCCACCACCTCCGTCGACGTACGGCGGGTCCCGGTGTGAAGCCGGGCGGTGGGGTAAAGCCCGGCGGCGGTGCCACGTGAGGCGCGGGCAGTGTCTCCGGCGCGAGCGCGTCTCCCGAGGGAGGGTCTTCTGGGGGCGAGTCTTGCTCACGGTCCGTGGTGCGATCCGTAACTCGGCCGTCGTCGCCGCCTTGGCCCTCCCCATTCAGGCCCCCATTCGGGACCCTATTCAGGCCCCCATTCAAATCCCCATTGAGGTCCGCATTTAGGTCGCGGGTTTCTTGGAGAGTGGATCCGGTGGGGCAGGTTCCGACGGTGGCAAGTGCACCGGTCTCATCTTCCGCTTGTTTTTCGGCGTGCCGCTGGGCTTGGAGGAGGTGGATTGTGTCTCGTGTGCGGCGGCATTCGAGACGCCAGGCGGCGAGGAGGAGATCGAGTCGGAAGTATCGAGCGAGAGTTGTCGGCGCAGCGAGTGTGGCAGCGCAGAGGCCGGTCAGGATCTTACGCAGAACGCTTTCCAGGTCGTGCCAGCCGAGCTCCAAGGTCCCGTCATGGGGCCAGCCGTCGACCAGCAGCAGTGGCGTCGACTGTACGCCGATGAAAGGTGGTACGCGTCGTGTGTAGACTTCGTGGTTCACGAACGGCATACGTGTGGCCAAATATGCCGCGAATAACCGGTGTGTGCGCTCGCTCGCTGCTTCCAACCGTGCTAGAGGTCGGTACCAGTCGGGGTCCAATGCAGGGTCCGATGCGGCGTGCGATGCTGGGTCCAATGGTGCTTCTTGGAGGCCGCCGCGACCCGCGTGGTTCCGCATAGCGGACCGAGTGGATGGCCGACTCCGAACCGCACTCGCCCCGGTTCGATTCCCGCTGCGCGCAGCGGCGACGAGGCGCGCCGCCGAGTCGTAGTCCGCTTCGTCGCACTCCGTCTCCGCGACCGCCGTCTCCTCGTCATCCGCCAAGCGCGCTTGACCCATCAATCGGGCACCCTGTGCTGAGTCGGTTCTGGCTACGACCGTTCTACCGCCGTGGACCCTTCGCTGCCCAGTGACGGTTTCCCAGCTGCGCGCACGAGTGGCGCCAAGTCCGCGGCTGGTGAGACTCTTGGTTGGCAGTTTCCGCACACGGACGGTGCGGGACGAAAGGAGAGGGTCTCCGGAGAGCGCGTCTGCATCAGACGATACACGGAGAAGACCACAACAACTTCGCAACCAGTCCATGCAACCCTGCTCCACTTCAGAACCGGGCGTCGCTCCGACGGTTATGTCGGAAGGTGTGGCACCGGGGCTGGGGGGCGTCACGAGTTCTTCAAGCTCGGCTCTTACCCCTGCCGGCAGACAGGCGTTATAGTAGATGAGCTGACAGGTTTCAAGCACTCGCGCAAATACCGAGGGTGCCGGAGACGGCGCAACTGCACGCGCAAAACGCTTCAGGGCACGCACTCGCCGTCGCTCGTGTGTCCGACTCACCTCACGTCGCCATTCTACACCACGCTGAGGTCTTTCCGCGCCCGGTTGTCGACTCGACATACGTTCGCTGCTCATTCCGTCGCCCATGCATGACGGAAGTGGGGTGGCGCCGAATCCGGACGGCCTGGTGGCCGGGTGATGGTCAAGCCGGGTGGGAGTCAGACTGAGGACGTGGCGTTAGGTTGTGCAGTGGTGAGTTTGCAGACGAGGAACTTGTTGATCTTTTTGGAGCGCGAAACAAGTTGGCAGATGGGTGTGTCATTCGGTACGAACTCGAACTCTTCCTGAGGTTCGAGTGCGAGTGCGAGATACGTGACGATGGTCTGGGGTGAGTAAGCGGCGTTTGCATCCCAGGGGAACGGTTTCGCGAACAAGACATCATAGACGTCCTGTAACCGTGCACTCTCCTCGACTTGGTCGATTGCCTCGCAGGTGCCGAACTCATCAACTAAAAAGAGGATCGACCACGCCACCAAGTTATTCTCGGTAAGTGACGGCAGAGCTAACGGCACGTCATACACTGCTTCAGGCACCCAGCTTATACCACGCGCACGTAACACCCTCTCCAAGTGCTCGCGGCCCGCGGCTTCCTTCGCCTTGATCACCGCACGCTTCGATTCATGCTTCGCCACCAACTTCTCGATGTCCATACGCAACGTCTTCAAACACTTTATGTCGACCTGCCACTGGCCTCCTGACCCCGCGACATCGTCTGTCGACCCGTTGACTGCTGTGTTCTGGTCAGCAAGCTGGGTTATAGACTTGATACCCTGGTCGACTACGCTTAAGCCACGGGAGTAGACGCCAAGGGCGACGCAGGCTCGGCCGGCGTGGAAGTATCCCTTGACGAATTCGGGGTCTTTTTTGACGGCCTCCTGCGCGTCTTCGAGCGCCTCGTTGTATTTGCCAAGGCGGTAATGACACACGGCGCGGTTACAGAGGACGCGCGCCTTCTCCTTGTTCAATGGGCTCCGTGACTCGCTAAATGGCTTATCCTGCCGTGGAACCGCCACCACTTGGCCGTCGGCCGCCAGGGCCTTAGTGTAGGCGTCGATTGCATCCCGGTAACGTTGAGGTAACGACGGTCCATCAGCAAAATGCGCGTTACCCACCGCCTTCCAGTGCGCCAACACGTCCGCCGGACATTGCAATACACCCTCATTTATCTGCTGCAGCGCCGCCAACGTCGGGTCATCCTCCACGTTCGCCGGCAAACAGTCCCGAAACAATGCGTGCTGTGTGTGGTCCTCCTGGTCCCAAAAATCCGAATGCAGACCCTTCAAGGAGTCCAACTCCTCCTTCGTGAAAGGCAATTCGTCCTCCTCCTCCCGCATGGAAAAAAAAATCACCCTTTCCATCCAGACGCGCCGAACTACCCCAAGTCAAAACACATCTGAATCTGGTTGAGTCAAAACGTGAGTCTGGTTGATTCTGGGTTAGTCGAATCGAGGAGGGTCCAATCCGACATCAACTAAAGAACTTGTCTGGCGTACAAAGCGCTCACCGGCGGCCAGCTATTGAGTCTGGCCTTGTGGTCAGCTCCGAGTGTGGTCGTCAGTCCGCTCCAAGGGTCGCACACAGCCAGCTATTCCCAGTCCTTGTAAATTCACTTGTCTGGGCCAGTGCTGAAAGTGGGGTGCGTAGCCAGGGAGGCTAGAACCATTTGTAGTTGGTCGGCCATTTTCAGGTCGATTTTGCGAGCGTTCAGGATGCGTGTAGCGACGTCTTGTGTGAGTGCGGTCCATTTGGTAGAAGTGCAGAGGTCGAAGACTTCGGCGGCGGATTCGACGGTGAGTAGTTCGCACATTTCGACGAGTTCCGTAAACATGTCTCGGATGGAGGGTGGTCGACCATCCAACGGCCCAGTGCCGGGTCCAGTGGGCAGAGCCTCGGCAGTCCAGTCGATGAGATGGCGAGCGAGTGAGTCAAATTCCAAGGCACCAGAACATGTGATGCCGGTCGTCTGGCTATTCTCCGTACTAACCACCGTGCTGGCCTTGAAATCTTTGAAGTAGCTGACCAAGGAGCTGTTCTCCGTCCGTCCATTGGTAACCATGTCTGCACCTGCATTAACTCCTGATGCCGCCTTGCCGTCTGCGCCTGGGCTTAAGGAAATGCGCTCCAGCAGCATCTGCACCAAACGTACCGCCACACACTCTACCAGTCGGTACACCAGGTCTGCAGCCACAGCCGGTGCCCAGACCAGCACCATGTAACCACGCAATTCCTCCAACCGCTGCACCAACACGTCTTCGCGCTCCGTGTTTACTGCCGCCGCTTCCCAATTGAAGGGCGCCTCGCTGAACAACGGTTCCAAAAACGCACTGTACGTCCGACCCGCCACCGCCCGTACCGCTGAGTCGTAACTGTCCCAATAGATCCCCCGAATCAGCGACAAGTCTACCGTCGGGGCTACCGTCGGGGCTACCGTCGGGGCTACCGTCGGGCCTACCGTCGGGGCTACCGTCGGGGCTACCGTCGGGGCTACCGTCGGGGCTACCGTCGGGGCTACCGTCGGGGCTACCGATGGGTTGTCCTGAGTGAATGGAGCCGTGGCGATAACGTCCTTGCCAGCCAAAGAGTCTTTCGAAGTTAACAAGTCTTTCGTAGCAGGTAAAGAGTCTTTAGATGACAGAGTGCGCCCTTGAACGCCGCCGTCTTGAGCGCCGCCGTCTTGAGCGCCGCCGCCTTGAGCGTAGTCGCCGGTGGTCTGGCTGATGGTCTGGCTTGTGGCCTGGCAGGTCATTTGACCGGCGCGTATCTTGTCTCGGACTTGGTCGAGATACTGATTGATAAGGTAGGTGCCCATGAGAGCGTGAGGCAGAGAGATTTGTGTAGTGAGTTTGTCGCTGCCTTGACTTGCTTGGAGCAGTTTCTGTTTGGTGACTCGCGAGTAGCACTTGGTTCCTTCGGGTCTTGTCCAGACTCCGAAGTAGAGGGAGAGTGCCAGTTCGCAATGACGACCAAGAACGCGGGGAATATCCGCCAGGACCTCTTCAACAGCGGCGAAGAAGGACGTCAGAGTATCCGGCGCACGAAGGGAAAGCATTTGCTGCGTCGCCTCTTTCAGGACGTAAAAAATGTCATCGACCAAAGTGCTACCGCCATCTCGCGCACATACCAACTCTTCTTCCCCTACAACTCCGCAATCGTCCATGGCCAACGAGCTATCCCAAGCACGTCGGATGTACAACGCGTAGACCTGAGTCAGAGCCCTAGACACTTGGTCCAAGTTTATCCAGCCAGTCGATGCTCCTGACGAAACATTTTCCGAGAATTCGCCCGTGGGGGGATTCGACGTTGTAGGGGGATTCGACGTTGTAGGGGGATTCGACGTTGTAGGGGGATTCGACGTTGTAGGGGGATTCGACGATATGTTAAGAATAAGCTCTGACGAATCAGGAAGCTCCAGATCGATGCGGAGTTCTTCCTTTCGCCGTTGCAATTGCGTCAAAACTTCCGCCGGAGTCGGCACTTGATCCATTCCCCCTGTATTACTCGTGAAGACAGCCCGCCGTCTCTTAGCCAACGACTTCAGCACGCTATTAGCGTTTGCAAATATTTGTAAACACTCGTTTACTACGGGGTGCAACAGAGCCAAGGACACAGTCGAAATCTTGGAGAGAACTTCTCGCTCAAAATTGCTGTAAATCGCAACCGCCTCTCGCCGGTGTTTGTAAAGAACTTCTTGGAAGACCAGGAACGAATCGACCCAACTTAACGCCCCTTGCGAATAAATTACCTACGGTCGGTTCAGTCAGTATGCGTTTAGTGGCGTGGGGTGTTATAAGCATAGCGGGTATATTGGTGGAGACGGTTATAGTGGTGGAGACGGTTATAGTGGTGGAGACGGTTATAGTGGTGGAGACGGGTATAGTGGTGGAGACGGGTATAGTGGTGGAGACGGGTATAGTGGTGGAGACGGTTATAGTGGTGGAGACGGTTATAGTGGTGGAGACGGGTATAGTGGTGGAGACGGGTATAGTGGGTGGTTTACGTTATAGTAGCGGTCAATATACATTTTAAGACTGTTGGTAACGGATGCTATTTGGTCGAAGTAGTAGTTTTCTTTTTTGATCAAGACAGCCAGAGAGATCTTGGCATTTGCGATTTCCTGGTAAACAACCTGAATTAACCGATTCTCATTCTTGCTACGAGAGAAGAGCTCGATCAATCCAGAAGGGATCCGACTAGGCGTCGGTCGTGCAATGGATTTCTTCAATACATGGACTAATAATACTCGACTAAGATTGAATGATTGGGCAACTACCACGTCTGCATGGTCTACATCGAGCTGGTCCAACTCATCTGTTACATCTTCTATAGTGCCGCAAACAGCCCTCGCCTTTCCCATCATCATTGAAGAGGTTGCCCTTTGCTCGTATAATGTCCTTGGCGATCTTTATTTGGGTAATAAG